AAAAAAAACTAATACTAATATTAATACTAACAATTATATTAGTATTAATATTAATATCAATAACTAACAGTAATAGTTATGAGTAATAACTAATAATGATATCAATAGATGAAGGGATTTGAGAGAAGAAATTCTCTGCTTAGAGATGTGTGGTTTTGAGGAGTTGATGGGCTCTGAGCTGGATTGCAAAGAAAACACCATTTTGGCCAACATTCCACCTTGATAGCTTTTCAATTCTTCTAGTCTCACCACGTTCTGCCTCTATATAATTGAGGAAGTCAACTGATGGTGTTTGGCTCTATAATTTCATGTTCTGAAGCAGCAACATTGCATGTTTCGTTCTAAGATAATTGATGCTCTTTCATTGGTGTGTCCATTAGATTCCATAGTTCCAACATAATGGTTAAAGATCTTGAAGCTTTTGCTTTCTTTGTAGTTTAATCTCCCTCAATCTTTGTATGACAGAAGCCAACTTATCAATCACCTCATTGCTAATAATCTCTACCTTCTGCGTCATCCAAACTAGGGTGCACTTCCATAACGGTTTGTTTGCAATTTATACCAGGAATCAAGAATAACATATTTAAAGCACTTAAACGCTCCAACACCTGCTTCAGGCGATCAGCCCTTTTCCTTTTGTAGTACCTCTAACTCCCTCTGAAACTCTTCAAGCTGCCAAGTGGATAGATCAAATTCTTCTACATTCAATGGCAGTGAAATGAGGTGTCAAAGCTGATTGGAGAGTGGAATTGAGATGAGCAGCTCGTGGGGTTCTCCTGCTCTTCCTGAACCCGACAGTTCTGATCAAACTGAGAACAAACACCTCCCTTCCCCATCGGGATCACAGATGCCATGTTCCAAGCTTCCCTTAGCGTCCTCACCCTCATTCTTTCCATAACTCTCAAAGCAATGACAGCAGCTGCCGTCAAAGTGACAATCGCCAGGAGTGCAGATGTTGACGGCGGCCAGAGGTCCGAGTCACAGGCTTTTGTGGAAGCTGCTAGAGGAAAATATGAATATAAAGGCAAGAAGGCATCATCAGTGAATGGTGAACTCCGGCGAACTGATCGGCAGACAACATGGCCGTGAAACTAAAGGTGGAGAAGAGCAGCGATCGGTCTAGAGATGGGTGTGTCTGCCAGCAAAAGCAGGCCTCCGATCGGGATCTGTAGCTGGGGACGAACAGGGAAGTAGGAGAGCTGGGGTCTTGGAAGGACTTTAGGTTGGCTCAGTTGTTGCTGTGGAGAAGTGGTAAGAGCAGAGGGAAAGTTGGGATTTCAGCTTGAAGTAGAGAGAAGCAGATATTGGCGTTGGGTAGATTAAAGAGGTGAGCAACGGGAGCAGGTTGAAGGCTGCAGGCTGCTGTGGCTTGATTGGAAGGTCTTCACATGAGAGAGATCTGGTTGCTGGAATTCGGCCTTGACTCTTGTACATTGCATGAGGCTGAGGTGGAAGGGAAATTCTGAGCAAGTGATTTGTTCGGAGACTGCATGAAGAGCAGGGGCGGGACCTATTGTGGATCTCACGGTTGGAGTAAGGAGATGCCGGGAGGTATCAAGAAGGGAAGCTGATAAGAGCTTTAGTGTAAGGAGGTAGAAGCTTTTGTGAGGGAGGCAGGAGGATTCAACCGTGGGAAGTGGGATCTGTCTTTTGAGCGGGATTTTGGAAGTTAGGAGTTGCTTTGGATTTTTCTTTTTGAGTTGCTCCAACAGGCAACAGAACCAATGGAAATAATATTGAGGCCTCCTATTCAAATGGGTGAGCTGCAGGATATCAGGAAGTGATCGCAAAGCAGAGCATTCAGCTGGATTTACGGGATTCGACAGAGATTCAATTCAGAGGGAGATAATCACACTTAATGTGATTTAACATTTCATTTGATTCTCTCCTTTTTTATTATAAATTAATATTAATATTAATAATAATAATAATTATTAATATTATTATCAATTCTCAACAATATCATGTGCTAAGTTCGAAAAGAGATGCCTCGATTTACGTGTAAATCTCTTTGATATATGTGCAGAAAGCCTCGTTTAGTGTGTCAAATTCATCGAACATCAAAATTAGACAAATTGATAGTGTATTTAGGGTATTGTTGATGTCCCGGTCGCAACGGCGCAGTCCATTTTGCGATCCGACTTCGTTTGGGTGGCGACGAGGCTTAATTCCTTCAAAATGCTCGTTATCTCGATTTGCGCACAAAACCTCATTCGAACAAATTGGCACTACATTCATAGTATTGATGGTGTTCTGGACCCAATGATG